GTAACTAGTACTACAATTTAAAAAAAAAAAAAGTAATTAGTTCTGTCCAGGGCTTTGGAGCTGTGCTCCGGCTCTGCTCCAGCTCCAGGCAAAAACCTGCAGCTCCACTGCTCCGAAGCTGCTCTAGTTCCGGTCTCCACTCCAAAGCTGTTTATTACACACTCTCGTGTTTTCTCTGGGAATCCTACACAGCTTGTGAAGGGGTCTTTTTTGTGTGTAAATCTCTGCAATTCCTATTTTCTGAGAAATAACATAGCTTGAAAACAGGAAAGGGTTGTGGACTACTAACCTAAATTACTGAGAAGTTTCCTCTGTATTTAGCAGGCTCCACTTCTCAATGGAGTGTCTGCCCTTTTAGGAAACTTTTTTTCTCTAAAAGAAATAACGAAAGCTTAACTCTAATCCACTTGCTAAGTAGATTGGCAAGCATTTTAACATGTGTGCAAGGCAATCTATCTATATGTGGAACACATCTTAGAACTTTTTACCTTTCTTGGGATTCATTGTAGTTTAATTTACACTACAGACTCTGCCATGTCTCCATTCTGAGCGCCTTCAAGAAAACATCAGTCTATAAAAACATGAATGAAATCAGTGGGAGAAACCATCCAGACCATCAGTTGACAATACCCTTTAATTGTGTTTGAAAATATGCCTTTATTTTTCTCATATTTCAATCTTAGTTGACTTATAACATCCTAGGAACTTTTTCAACAGTTTCAACTGGAATTACAGATTTAAATAGGATGATGGAATATGAGCTCATGATTCACCCATATGCTTGAATACTAGGTAACTTTACATTGTGGTGTTTATTAACCCCCTCTGGCCTCATTTGTAAACACCACTTAGACCATCTTCATTGTACAACTAGAGGCTAAAAACTTCCAGTACAACTTTTTATTAATCTCTGAAATGCAATTTCCCCAGTTATTTACAGCACAAAGTTGTATAGATTCTTCAAGTATATTGAAAACAGAGATGTGGCCAAATCGGTTCTGAAGGAAAGGGGGCTCAAGAAGATTCGATTGGGTATTGAAGGTAAGAGTAATTTTCATTGCTTCCAAGCTAATCCTTTGGCAAAGGGCATTTCTGTGCTTCTGCCCCTCTGTACAGCCACTGTCCCTACCTTGCTACATGAGCTATTGTAAGTCAGTGGTATTAGCCTATTAGTCTGTTTTATGGTGGAGACTAATTTGTTCACCTTGTTGGCTTCTCTTGTATCCAAATTCTAACATACCTTCCCACTGCAGAGCTTTCTTTGACTTATCAATGAGTGGATGGTTCTGCTGCATCCTGTGACCTTAATTCTGGATTTCCTAACTTTCAAGTGTTTTCTTTGCTATCTAAATAATCTCATAATGGAGATTTTTAATGTAAAATTATATATAAAAATATTTCTCATGACCTGCTCACATAGACAAACTGACCCCTCTCATAGTCTTCTATAGAAAGCTGCCATGACTGGACTGGGGGGGGAGTGGGAAGGAATTGGGTCACTTTGAACTTTAGGGAGCTTTAAGGATCTTGTCCTCTGCTGTCTACTCTGCTGGTAGAAAAATAGGAAAAGCTTTTTAAGCTTACTGAACACTGGTTTTCCATAAATAAGAATTTAGTAACTCAAAAAAGCAGTAAGCCAGATGTTATGGAAATTGTCAAGATAAATTTCCCCCCCAAAGTAGTTTGAACAGTGTTGGCCAGCCGTATTCATGACAACCTTCTTCTAGCCTAGAAGGGCTGGACTCTGTTCCCTTTATATACCCCATTAGCACAACATCAGTCAGGCAAAGGACAGCTGAAATGTGTAGTGTCCCTAAATTTTTAGAGCATGAGTGCAGGAACAAGAACTGAGTTAGGCTTGAACTCGGCTCCCAGAAACCCAGTAGTGGAGATTTAAGGAAAGTGAACATAGTTATGATCTTAAATAAATAGCCCCAAAAATGCAGTGTTTGGGACTATATGTCTGGGCCCCCACAGAAATAAAACTGGAGACAACTTTCCATACTTAGTAATGAGAAATAAAATACTACTTGGCTGCATTTTTCTCTTCCTACCCCCAAAGCAAATATGGAAACCAGTTTTGCTTTGCTGCAGAAGTTATAGTAATGTACTATTGTCACTAGTCAGTGTTTGAAATGAGGGGAAAAATGTGTGGGACCTGGCCTGGAGAACTCATGCCAGCATATTATTGTTTCACCACTCTGGGGGTTCACATCTCAAACCTCATCCCTTGCTCTCCAGGCCAACAGTGCTCTGAGGGAGCATACCAGCATTCTGTCTGGAGGGGAGAGTTACTAGCATTACTTTTGCAGGCATTCTCTTCACTAGGTCTAGAAAGACTTGCTTTAGTAGTAAATGGCCTTAGCATTTTTTCCCCTTGGATTTTGGCTAATTTGTGTTTGGTTTGTAAACTGGGGAATGCCTGGTGTTAAAAAACAAACAAAAAAAACATGGTGGTGTCGGCATCATTCTGTATGCTAATCTGGAAATGGACTTGCTTATCTTCATTGTATCTCAACCTTCTGGTTGGCTGGTTGTGTACATGCTCTGAAGCTGAGCTGGTGAAGGAGAACTTTGAGCTAAGTAGTACTGGAAACTTTAATTGTCATTTTGTTCTAATATTTTTAGGTTACCCCACATACAAAGAAAAAGTGAAGAAACGGCCAGGTGGGAGGCCAGAGGTGATTTACAACTATGTCCAAAGACCATTCATTCGGATGTCTTGGGAAAAAGAAGAAGGAAAGAGTCGGCATGTTGACTTTCAGTGTGTAAAAAGTAAATCTATTACAAACCTAGCAGCAGCTGCAGCAGATATCCCCCAGGACCAGCTAGTGGTAATGCACCCCACACCACAAGTGGATGAGCTGGATATTCTACCTATTCATCCTCCACCCAGCAACAATGATGTGGACCCGGAGGGACTAAACCCAGCACTCTGATTCAGATTCTTATTCAAACAAAAGCATGCTACTTTAAAAAGTGACTCTCTCTCATACTGCACTGCAATTCCAGCTTTTCTTCATTGTGTAACACAGTGTTTAGGATATTGCAGAATGGGCTTTCTTAGAGACCAAAGGAGTATCTAATCGTGGTTTTTAAAGAGTACAACTAAAACATCCTGAGGTTCCAGTTATGTACATGTATTTGTTTGAGTAGGTTTGCGATATTGGTTATTTGTATGCTGGACTGTCCTCCTCCCTCTAGGCCCATCAAAAACAATGGGATCTGCTGGCTACTGTACATTCAATATTGTTACATGGAAGGCAAAATGCAGAATCAGAATTGATAGTAGCACTTTATGAATGGCTGCTTGATAAATGGATTCTCAAAGCCATGTTTTATAAATGTGTTGCACAATGCTAACTTTAACAAAGTGCTTCTATCAAAGTCTTTCTACTCATTTAAATGTGAATAGATGGACTCTTAAATGTATTGTATATGATCGAGCACAAAATGATTACCACTGGGGTTTTTGGATTGAGGACATTATTCAATTACCCATTTAACATCCTGCCCAACTCAAATTTCTCCAGTGAATTTTTTCACTTGTTTGTAATGTGAGCCATGTTCAACGATTGTGAACAATTGATGGGGGATTTCTCTTAAATTTTGCCTTACCTGAATTTGTTGATGGAAATATTTATTTAGTAAAAGTTTGTAATAAGTGTCATGGAATAGAAAAATGCAGATGGTTCACTCTTCATTTATTAAATGATTGTAAATTCAAGTTTTTCATTCAAATAAAATTTCCATTATTTTAATCAGTTTGACACGAGTTATCCCTTACCAAAGATTATATATACTATGTATAAATTCCAGTGACTATCTGTGCACTTACTCCTTCTCCACCTCTAGTCTTAGAGGAGGAATATAATGTGTTAATAATGGAAGGCATGGTGTCAGTCTTAAATTTTTCCTTTCCTTATCAGCCATCAAATACCAGTTAGGAATCCCAGCAATGGGGAATCTATCTTCTGAATCAAAATATTAAAAATTGTTCGCATCTTGACGCCAACTAGATAAGAGGTTGTATTGCTGGGGGGTTACTAGAGAAGCTGTTTCGACTACAGGACATACTTACAAGAGGCAAAAATGTCATAAACAATCTGTTTCTTCTCCCAAAATAAAAACCTGATGACATTCCTCCATTAGGAAGTCATCAGTTGTGGAAGTAAGGCAATATGGTTAAACTATAATTCTCTCCATTTATCAAATGGATGCACTTCCAAAGATAGTTCATGATGATTTTTAAGTTACCGGAATTATAGAAGAACTAACTCTATAAAAAAAGCAAACATGTTAGAAATGTGTTTAACTGTAAAGTGTGTGTGTATATGAAATTGGCTGAAAGCAGTGAGCTGAGAATGAAGCCTTGGGACTGAATGTTTCCCCTTTTTTCCATTTTGAAAGTAACAAGGCACAATCTATGGCTTCTACCATACTTCTTATGTGGGGTCTTATCAGAATTTTTTTATTATAAAAAAAGTAAATGCTGCATTTTAGAACAAGGGAAACATATTTATTTTAAAAATATTTAACTGTCTAATACATTACACTTTAACAATATTTATAGTAAAGGATTCTGACAAGAAAGAATAAACAGCTTTATGATACAATTAGTATAAGAAATATCCACATGGGAGATCTTTTTGTAGTGTAAAAACACATCATACATCTGAAATGACCGTTTGCATATAAAAGCTACCAATGATAACAGTGCTGAGTTGCACAGTGATTAAAAAAAAATTCAAAAAGAACAGAATCCCAAAATATACAATTAATGCAAGCTATCCACAGCTAACCAAATCCATAATGCAAGAACACTGTAGCATGTTTTATCTCCACTTTGTCTGAAATGACACATGGTAGGATGAGGTGTGTGTTCTGATATGGCTTTTATGAAATTCAAACATAAAAGCTATTCTCATAATCCAAGCTTCACAGACTGTAGAACTCCACCAATAATGCACTTTGATATTCAGATGCTGAATTAATATGTAGCATTTACAAGGGCCACGGTAAGTCGCTAAAATCCACAGGGCCTCCGAGGCCTGCATCTGCTTCCAAAAGGCTCATTATAACTGCCATTGCAGCTTCGTCGTTGCTGGGGCTGCTTGATCCTTGGTCGTTGTCTATCATATCTATGCCTATGTGAGAGTTCTCCCCTGTGAAAGTATTAAAAGAAAACTGCAGCAAGCATTTAAAATATGATTTTATATATTGTATAAAGTGATTGCTCAGAAAAATGTCAATCATTAACTGTGTTGGAAGTGAGTATGCTAAACTGCATTCTGATAGGTGGCGGGGGGGATGTTTGATGGCAAATGCACTCCTCAGCGTACGGTACAGAGCTGGGATCTCATCCCGATGACAGAAAAATTACCTACAGGATTTGTGCTAACCGTGGGGCTGCATGGGGAGTTAGTGGAGGACAAGGGCTGTGGGAGGTGTGTGAAAGGGGTAGAATGTCAGGGTGAGCAGTTTCAAGTAACCAATGTGCCAGCCTGGTGGGGGGCCTTGGCCACTTCCAACTCATTCTATTTAAAAAAAAAAAAATCCAATTTCATTTTTTTCAGTAAAATGAGTTGAAAATGGCCATTGGGCTATTGAAAAGAAGCTGAACTTTTGAGGGATAGAAAGTGAGGGGCTCAAATAGTCCAAGTAAAATGTTTAAGTGTTTGAAAACCATATAGGGTAGATGTTTATAAAACACTATTTTCTTATCATTTTGCTAGGAATTTTCCTTCATATGGGAAAGATTCATTGTATAAACTACCATTTTATGTATTTTAATTGTTTTGTGAATGAGCAAAAGATCATGCCAAGGTGTGCATAGAGCTGAGATATGTCACCCATCAGGTAAACAATGGGGTTTGCTGCTATAACCAATTAAGCTGTAACGTATTTATCAGCACAGAGCTTTAAAGGCATTTATTATTAATTTATTTTTGAAGACTATTACTTGGTCTTTGTCCTAAAATGTTCTTAAGCCTAATTTTATTCTAGATAAAGTTTTGTGTAAAGATGATGCTTTGAGATGGCTAGAGTTACATTTGTCATACTTCTCTGAACTATAGACTTAATTGTATGACTGTGCTTACCAAGAATGGAGGAGTTGTCGGAATATGGATAGCCAGAATTATCCTGGATCTGCCCAGATAGTAAACCAGCAGAGGGAATGTCTGGAGTTCCACCATTCAAAATCTAGAAACAAATGAAAAATGTAAATTTCTAGTGTCCTGTGGTACTCATGCTGCTCTCAGCCTTAACCTATGTAGCACATCTGAAAAAGGAGGGCCTACAGCAAGTCTTAGGATCCGAACATATGAACTTAAACTGCGTTCCAGTGAGACTTCACAGCAGGATACTTTAATATTAAATGTGGTGAAGACCGGGGGAGAGATGCGAGACAATCAACCTGCAAACCAACTTTGTTAGAAGTTAAACACCACCTACAACATGAAATTATCTTAAAATGCTTCATGCTTACTATTGTATCAATTTTAAGCCTCAGTGAGGAATGGGCAAAGTTTATTTGCCCAGTGAAAGTGAGACGTGTCAAAGCAATGTCAAACACTGGAAAGTAAAGGAACTGCTATAAAAGGTACTGTAACCAATTATCTTTAGATGGCAGCGCTTTCTTCAGAAACACCTGCTTTTTATAAACATTGCTTATTTTTTTAATTTTTTTGCAGCACTGGGTTCTTGCTATGGAATTTCTAAGTTCCACCATTTGTAAATTTCAAATAGAGCCATTTATAAAATACATTTGAACCAACCCCCCCGTCCCTCCCCCGTCCCCCACTGCAAGGCCAACACTATTAGAGGTTGTAATGATTTTGTCTAATTCCTGATGCCTAGAAGGTGAGTATTTATTTGTAATCTGGGTAGTGCCTAGGTGCTGTGCAAACACACAGGCTACAGTCCCAGCCCTGAAAAGCATACAATCTCTAGTGTAATCCTCTTGATACAGAGTGCCATGGGGTTGCTCAGCTTGTTCTGGCTAGTAACATTCCATTGGTGAGTATCTGCATTACAAAGACCCTACCGGATGCCCTGAATAGAGATGGAGGGTGGTTGTTTTTTTGCCCCATGCCCTAATATAAAGGGCAATAAGGAAGCAAAAAAAAAAAAAATTGATTCTAGTTGAAACTACTCAGTTGTGCTTATATTAGAGGTCATTTAGTTCTGAGCTTGCTCTAAGGAATATATCCACAAGAATAATACTTAGGCAAAATATAGCCTGATGCTCCACTACCCTGCAACTTGTCTAGTTATTTCCATCTGTAGAGTGCAAAGAGGATGGAAATAACAAAACTGAATTGGTAGCATTTTTACTCCCATTTTGCTTCCTTGCTCTGTGTGTAGTGATTTATACTAGTGCAGAGAATCAGGCCCTTTGACTAAGGGCTTCTTGAGATGGGAAAGATTTAGGTGTTACCATGGTGTAGTTACACTGGTATAACCCCTTCCCCTGAATTCGGACACTTGGTCTGGTGACATAAGCTAAACAAAAAAGCACTGTTCTCAGAGATTGTCCCCCCCACATAGGGATTTTATTGGTTAACTGCAGCTGTTTAAATTCACAACTCAGGTAATATCAAAACCCATCCCCATATAGCTAAGACTTCAGTTTTTTAGCCTTATATTAACATCTAGTTTCTCCATAAGTAAATCTCTTTAATGGTATTTTCAGTGGTGATCTCTTCTGTTTCTTCCATGATACGCCAGCTGAGATTGCTTCTAAAGCAGCCCTACTCCTTCCTTCATTGAATGGAACCACTGCTCTCTTTCTAGAACCAAAATGTAGTGTTTCCCTCCAGGGGAGCCCTGGCACCATGCCTTGAATTTCTGGCCAAAGCTGCACGTATAGTTGGTGGTTTCTTTATAGCAGTGTAGGTTACGATAAGAAACTACTCCATTGGGAAACGCTCCGCAAGGATTTTTGTACAATACAGACTCTGCTAGCAGCAGGTATAACACCGCAATTACTACGCTTGATCATGGCTCATGGGGCAAGAGAAACAGCATCTGGTTACAATCGCTGTTAAGTTTTGTTATGTAATATAGGTAGAGGTTGTAGTAACATTTTGGTTTAGTTTGGAGAGGGGTGAGTTCTCCTCCCAAGGTACTGTTTGGGTTTTTTATGCTTTTTGTATTTTCTCCTAGGGAATTTGAATTCTATGATACACTCTATCTGAATATGCCTCAAGCTACGTATATACTACAGTTTATGGCGGTATAAATTATGTTGCTCAGGGGTGTGAATAAGCCACCCCTCCAAGCAATGTAAGTTACTCTGACCTAAGTGCTGGTGTGGACAATGCTGTGTCAGCGGGAGAAGCTCTCCTGCCGACATAGCTACCGCTGTTCACAAAGGCTCCTGTTGGCTTAGATCATCTGCACTAGTAGCACTACAGTGGCAAGCTGTGTAGTGTATCCATAGCTTTAGTCTGATGGGATTTCTAGGCTTCTGATGGCACTGCAAGGATATTTATAATACTAACTTGTTTAAACAAAGAAAGAGCGAACTATATGGCTGCTGTCACTCATTGATTTGTCTCAAGTGACTTTCTCTTTCATAAGCATTTATTGAAAATGGAGCAAATAACTTCTGTTCTGTCTGTCATCTAGACCCATGAAACTCCGAACATTAGCTATACATTCAGAATTTGAAGTATCAAAATGTTGTGTTCTCTGAGTCACTGTGGTTTGTATTAAAGAGACTGCATTGCCAAGCTTTTGAAAAGTAATATGAAATTAGCTGTACTATAATTTACTATTTTGCACTACTTTGAATGCCTGGCTTGCAAACTTCTGTGCCTACTGATTTAACAGCACGATTGTTGTTTTACAGTTATATTTTCCTTTTGTACAGTGGCTTAGAGATGTGTGAACTGCTATAGTTAGTACACTGCTGCCATTGTGGGTACAAGGAGAATAAATTAAACTAGTAATTATTAAAATTAAATGTAGGGCTCCACATCTGTATTGATTCTTGGCAAGGATATTTTCACACTGAAATGTCTGGGTTAATACACTAGCTATTTAGCCAAGGAGATGAAAATTCATCTCTTGATTAAGGTCATACTTAATCTCTAGTCTCTACCCAACCTTCTTATAAAACCATACAGATCAGCATGATTGGCTTTCAATGTTCAAAAGTACAGGACAGGCACAGCAAGGCTTATGTCCATTCGTTTGAGGCTCAAATCTCATTTTCATGGATCCTATAGTTACCACAAACCTAGCAAAAAATAAATCAGACTTGTTTGGTAGAAGCCTGGGAGTTGCCCACTCAACTTTGCAGCCTAAATGGATGGATCATCCATAGTCAAGTGTATTTGTTGGGATGCAAAATCTAGATGATCACCTAGGTTCCAGGTGATGATGGCTTGTAACTGCTACATGTTGCCTGAGGTGATACTAGCCAAATACTGAAGCACTTTGAGTTGTTTTAGTGCCTGAGTGTATGATTATGGAATTAAATCTTTTTCATAAAGAAAAAGCAGTCGGCTGCTTTTGCTCTTTTTACTTAGGTAATCACTGTTAAAGGATATACATGTATCCTAATGAAAGAATATAGCTAAATAGTAGTTCCAAAGAAGCACCAAGGCTACATGTAAACTTCAGTCTGCTTTATTATGTATTTGTAATAGTAGCATCTGGGGGCCCTATTTATGGATCAGGGCCCCCACGGTGGGAGGGGTGTTTCTATGCACGTATTTGCTATGCTACTTTAAGGGAGATTCAAAATTGATTGTGCTATATGACTGCAGTTTCTTCCATTCATTTAAATCACATACTTCATACCTGAGTAGCCTGAGGGATATTTCATACATTTATAAACACAGTAGAATTGAAATATTGTAACAGAGGTTGGTTGGTTGCAAATTAAACATCTTCCCCTAATGGTAAAGGGAATTCTCATTGACCATCTAGTCAGTCTCTCTGGCAACCGCTTCTGTCGTCTCAAGGCTTGAATTTGCAAATCCATACTTGTACAAATACTTCTGTTGACTTAAATGGGACAATTCCTGTGAGCAGCAGGCTCCAGCCTCTACTCATCTAGATGCTGTGTATTCAGCTAAAACATGTCAGTTTGTGCAATAAACAGTGTATGAAGTTATGTTCTTGTCTTTTCCATTACAAGGATACTAAAGTAATTAACTAGCTTGCTGGCAAGGAAAAACCAGGTAAGGTGCATGGCACCAGGGCTAAAGGTCACAAGACAATGAAAGTAGTTACAATCAATTCTCTACTACAGCAATAGTACAGTAATCAGTACTGTCATAAATCTCTTTGATCTTTAACCTAATGAGCCTATGGTCCTAATAATGGGGGCTAGTGACATCACAAATGAGAGAGCTGTAATTATAACCTGATACACAATACACATATAAAGGTAATTAACTTGTATTTCTAAAATTTCTGTATACACTGGATTCTGTTTATTAGCAACTTCTGTTCCCAGCAAAAAGTTGCCATTATCTGGAAGTTGCCAATAAACAGAAGACAGGTTTGTAGGCTACAATCAGGGAAAGCAGCACTGGGTGGGACATGCATTCCCTGGCTGCAGCCCTGCCTGCAGGCACAGCGGTAGTAGGGAGGGGGGCTGCAGCCCAGCTTTCCACAGGCAGCAGGTATGCTGGGGCCTCAGGGGCTGCCGGCACTGTAATTCCTCCTGCACTCTACAAGCTATGCCCAGCCTCAGCATGTCCCACAATTCCTTCTCTAGCTGCAGCCCCTCTGTGCCAGGGCAGAGCACAGCCTGGAGAGCACAGGGAGAGGTACTGTACAGCTCCCCAGCACCCCTGTTCCCTGTGGAAAGCCCCAGCAAGTGAGCTTTAGCTTCCTCCCAACTGCTGCTCTGTCCAAAGCTGCCCCCGCCCCCAGCCTGCAGTGCCAGGACTCCAGCAAGGCCTCCCCCTTTGTGTAGGTGGCAAGTCCCCAGCCAGGTCTGCCAAGTGCTTCCTTCCCTGGTTGCAGCCCCAGAAACCTGCCTGCAGCTGAGGCCTTTCTTCCCAAAAAAGTTCTCCATAGGCATCACACTATTGCCAATATACAAATCTCATTAACATTAAAGTCAATGGGATGGGACTGGTTCCTGGCAAAATGCTGCTAATAAGCAAAGTTGTTAATAACATTGCTATTAGGAGGAATCTACTGTATTTAGGAAACTTATGTGAAATAATATCTCTGGC